CTGGTGAAAATTTCATGTCATTAGCACCTCTAGTAATATATTTACTGAGAAAAATGTTGACGTGTTCAATACTTATTTTACCCACTGTGTATGATCTCATGACAGTTATAGAATATTTAGCTGCAGTTTTGATTATTAAAAACAAACCTGAATTCTGTTTCCTTTTGAATGCAAGCACACAATACAGCATTATCTGAAAACATTTAATCAAGCACCTAACAAAGTTAAGTCATCAGAAGAAAATAACTGAACGATAGTTATTCTTTGCCTTTCAGAGCTGACTTTTAATTTATACAGAACTGTAAATAATCAGCTCGGTGTAGAAACAAAATGAATATTTGATGACAGAAGCAGTACAAAGGTTTATTCAATCAGATGTTTAAAACTGACATAAGTGGCTAAAGAAAGCTTGTTGCTAGTTTGCTGAACAAAAATTTGAGAATTCCCAGYACATTTGTGTCTAAATTGAAGAAATGTCTTTAATTTTATTTAATGGGATTTTGAAAGCTACTCTTTGACCAGGGACAATCACAGCCTCTGTTTTCATCCAGTTAGAAAACATGCTGTTCATTTGAAAGTACTTTGAAAGTACTCCAAAGTACTTTCTGGCTTAATTTTTTTCCCCTCTAAAGCATCAGAGTAACCAAATAAAAATGATATTAATCATAGCACAAAAACAGATGAATTTGGACTAAATCAGTGTCAAATTGATTGTATTTTTTATATTCTACAGTAAAGTGGGGCTCCTGTAAAGTCCTCTAAAAACAAAATCTGTAGACCCTGAGTGGACTAACAGGATGCTCACATGTTTACATTAACATGAGATGTGAAAGGAAATAACAATTTGTTCACTTTTCTGTTTTCACTGTTCCTTGGACAGCTTCATTAACAATGGATCCGATGCAGCGGTCTCCATCTGCCTCTCACTCAGGAGGTCCGCCCAGACCTCAGGTCTCTTATTTGGCTCCTGCTGGGAGACCTGCTTCACCGGAACAGCCCACCGTCCCCAGAMCCATTCATCAAATGAGAAACACAAAGCAGGACACAGGAGAAYTCCAGGTTTCTGCAGAAGCTCCAGCTGCTTCAGAGCAAACCGTGGTCAGACATGAGGTCTGTGCAACGGATCAGCTTTTGGAGTTTTTCTAATTCAAGATGATCAGCACGGTCCTCTGAAGCTAAAACACACAAACATGTCTGTAACTCAGTCACCAATATTGAGCTAACATTTGGTGTGATTAGCCCAACACATATTCTGACCCCCCAACAAATCACTTGAAATTTACAGCACAAATTAGACTTAATTATTTGGAGTCAACTTTGTCTGTCTGTTAGCAAAATATCTCATGAACCACCAGATTTCTATTTATGAAACTTTTAGGAAATTCTCATTGGATGTAAGTCTGCAGCTGATTAAGTTTTGGTGTTGATTTATTTCAAAAAGGTCATTACAGCTATCAACACGTACAGCAATAACGCCATCAGCTGTCACAATAAATAGCAGTTTTAGGGGTTAGCTTTTGGATTGTTTTGAAAAAGTAAAGTTTTTGTGTGTTTCTCATCACTCAGGACAAAGRCGAGCTGGAAGCAGACGTGACAGAAGATGGGTCGTTCATGGAGTACCTTGATGAACTGTGCAGCGATGAGAACTTTGTCAGAAATGTAGGTTTTCTGTCTCATTAATACAACATGATTACAGTACGAGCTCACTGTGATCTAGATGTTAGCAGAGAAGATTTGTCACATTTGTCATGGCATAACCCACGTACGCCGCTGTTTCTACCAGGCTGGGTCGATCCTCAACACTGGCTACCTGAACTACCTCCTGTCTTCAGACCCAGAGCCTTTTAACTGTTCCAACACGGAAGCACAACTTCTCTGACAGATGTCTGGAAAACTCCCTGCTCTTTGTTTGTACAAACATTGTTTAAATTGTTCTATATTTTAGCCGTTTGTGTTGCTGCCATAAAATTTTAATACTGTATGTTTTGTGCATCATTGTCTTGTCAGTGTGCATTGCCAATGCAATGCACACTATTGTTATTCGTTTCCCAGCCAAGTCATCTCAACTTTGTCATGCTTCTTCTCCTGCATACTTTGTCCTAGAGCTGCCATTGTAATTTATATCTGTAAAGCTCCTGTGCCAAATGATGGCTATGCCTTTTGGTGCCTGTAMAACTTATAGTTTATGAAATGTTAATGTTTAATGAATTATAATGGCAGTCAATGGAGCCTTTTATTGGTCCAATACTGCCCCCTGCTGTTCTCAACTTGGTACTGCACCATGGTTTAATATTTCAACTCAGTAGTTCAGTGTTTACAGTACTATGATTGTATTTTGATGTTTTACTATATCATTGTCTTAATATTGCTCTATTGTTGTAATATTATGCAGTTTAGTGTCAAYAATTGHATTGGCAATGTGGCCTCTTTCTGCACACATTCAAAMCAACCSCTGCCACCACCTTCTGCCACMACTCCAYTGGTSTAATGGTCTATGTCATGGACTTTTATGTGGGAGATCAGGGTTCAAAACCCAGCTAATGCAATTTTAACTAAAAATCTCTTCCAACTTCATGTTGTCACTCAGTTACCTTAATTAAAAAACACCTGCTGACATGACAGGCACAACCTGGTATAGAAAACACATTTGGTCCTGGTCAAAGCTCATTCTGCAAAGCCATGCTGCAATGACATGCTACGTGGCAATGCACACTTGTTTTTACATCGTAAAAACCCATGTCTAGTTTTATTTATATTTTTCTCCATATCCAGAGATTTTTAGGGTTTATAAAAAACCTAAATTAGTTGGTCAGTAAAGCAGTATGTTAGTAAAACAATAAATTGCTTATTTGAAGTTGACCTCACTGACCTCAGATAAGATGGGATGGATTATTGTCCTCGTGAGACCAGGAGGAGGTATGATGGAACTGATCTGCACACGGAAAGATCACGGTYACATTTTCAGATATACGTCACTGTGAGGAACAACAAAACAAAACACCTCCTCAGACCGTTTCTTTTGCTCCTTCATTTCATTACATCCYGACGGTGCATTTTGACCCCGCAGGGTTTTCAGATCAACTTGTTTTTTCTTTTCACGCTCTGCAGAACCTCTGTGACCTTATTGTACAACGCTCAATAGATTTCAGTCCTGTAACTAAATGCTTTAAATAAGACTTTTGAGGTGGGATTCAGTAAAARCATATGAACAAAGAATATCTTACCTGTTGTAGATAGCTCATAAAAGCAATCTCAGTTTGTTCTATGGAGGTGACGCAGCACCAATCAGCCTGTCGACCTCACGCTCCATTCTTCCCTCATTCGTGAACAAGACCCTCGAGATACTTCAACTCCTCCRCTTGGGGCAATATMATTTCATTCTTCAGTTTCCTAATTTAAAAGCAATCGTTTCAGATTTTGACTGAGTTTAAATTATCATTGAATCTCAAAACTATGACACAAATGAGTCTTAGTTTTAGGGCAGAAAGGGGCTTCTACAGAAAATGCATTAAAMAGTTCCTGGASTGCTTGTAGATTTATCTCTTGGGCAAAGACATTTTTACGTATCACAACATTGGTGGTTTTCTCAGCTTTAATTTAAGCCATATTTCACAGAAATCGCATTAAGAAATAAGGGCGCTCTGAATATTTTTGTGACTGATGCACAACCTGCATTGAATCTACCATTTTGTTGACATGACTCAGTGCATAGTAATGGTGCCTGTGGTGGTGCGTTAATACAGATCAATGGAGCCATGGACAGACAGTTGGGTTCCTGCTTCAGCGACTGAAACTCGGGGAAAAATGCCGAGCAGCAGCGGGTTTAACAGAAAATAGTCCTTACAACCAGATTAAAAATCAAAAAACTTTATTATAAATACTGGCATATAGCAGTAAGCAGTTGATTTGGAGCCATGAAGATGCAACCAGGGCTGGTGGAGCTGAGGCTGAGCTGCGTCTTCTTGGCTTTGACATTCTTCAGCCGTGTGATCAGGTATTTCTGTGACTGGGTGTTAATTTAATGTTTTTTTTAACATTTGTCTGGTCCAAATGTGAAAAAAAAAAAAACATACAGCCATCATATTCTACAACAGTGACACAACCTGTTAAGGGCACTTTAAAAACAGCTCAGTTTATTGTCAAATAAACATAAAATTAAGAATAGTTTACATCAAATAAAGACATTAATTTTTTTCTTTTAGACGTACACACCACTGTCCCTCCACAGGAAGTCAGCACACACCACATCCATAAATAACATTGAAGRCTTTCAAACATGAAACACCTAATGGGTTAATGTGGAGAGGAATTAAAGACATCAGTAAACGTTCATCTCTTCAACAACCAATAAAACACACTCCAGAGAGGCTTTGAGGCATTATTCGATCCTATTTCACAATATTTAAAACATCCACATCTGTGCAAGTGATGCTAGATTTAAAAATATACGCAAAATATTAATAAAATGTATAAAAATATATTCCTTTGTGAATTTTAGTTTCAAGACGAGGAAAAAAAATCGGTGAAATGAGATTTTGGTAAAGCTCTCAGTCGGACTTCTTGTGGAGAGCTCCGTTGGGAACGAGGCCGTTGTTGTTCACTGCCTTCCCATTGGTCAGAGCGTTGAGTGACAGCTGAGAGCCCGCCTCCTCCGGCTGCAGGTACTCGTTCACCACTCTCTGATAGGTGGGATGGGTCGTCAGCACACGCAGGAGATTTTCTGTTGGAAAATTATTGTTCAGTGTTTGTTCTGGTGAACAGAGAGCAGCAGGTTCTGTCTGTAGAACCCGTCCAGAACCACCAGCTATTTAATACTCATTCATGTGGGGAAATATTTCTTTAAAAATCCCAAAATAGTCAATATTTTAACAATTTTTTTTAACCTTCTCTACTTAGTTTATTAAGTTAAATTAATTTTTTAGAAGTGACATTTTCCTTATTATACTGAATTATTTGAAGACTGGTTTACAATAAATAAAACTAATATAACTAAATACTCATGGACTTAATGGTTAAGKAGTCAGATCCTCTGAGAGGACAAAACACGACCCTTTCCACTTTCCATTTACTCTATAGTTGTCCTGGGGGCTCGTCTCACTGCCTTAGTTTTTTATCTTTTGGTTTCCCTGTATGACCATATATTGGTTTTTCAATATAAACTTTCAAACTTCTGACCTTTGAGAGGTGCATCTAACCAGGAGTTTGAACCAACAAGTATAAATACAAGTATCTGAACTCAACACAAGACAAAGAGCTATCCATCACTGGGGAACAACAACTCTCTGCTTGGGCTCCAATCATRAAAACATCTTTCYTAATAAAACATGAATAAATATAACTTCAGATGCTGACCTTCAGTGAGCACACCCTGACTACAGGCCTCGRTGTAAAGCGCAGCAGTGTTGTGCTGAGGAATGCCCAGCAGTGCCCCCATGAGGTCAGAGAGCTCCTCTGCACTCAGACTGCCTCGTCCCTCCTGGTCGAACAGCTGAAAGATCACAACCAGTTAGACGTTGTTTCAAAAACAGATTATTGGAAACGAGGAGACTTTTCTAAATGAACTGTGTATCAGTAACTTACAGTAAAAGCAGAGTGAAGTAAAGACATGAAGCTGGTGAATCCAGCGATGGATGCAACACTGAAGTAAACCTGTCGGAGGTCCACCGTCTCATCCTGGAAACAGAAAATCAGCACATCTGCTCACTTTCTACATAGTTTCAGGTAGTGGTCTCTGTAGTGCAAAGGGGGAGTTTCTTGCTGTATGGGTGGAGTTTGTCCTACTGTTTTCATGTATAATAAGATGGAGTGAAACACGACCATCTTTTAAGCTTATGTGGCAGGATGAATTGCACCTGCTGGCAGGGTAATTGTGGTGTTGTGGCAGCGAATGACACTAGAGGGTGCTCCCTATAAAAAGCACAGGTAAACTGCAGRTTTAGATTGGTTGGCTGACATACGTCACCGTGTGGTCCAGTGTTGTGCCTGCTGGGTGCCAAGTGCAGATAACTGTCGGCATGTTTGCCCTCACCCACAATCAGTGGATTGTGGGTGTAGTGGCTGCTGTGGCCAGAGTTTGTGCCCTTACGTGATCTCCCCACAAG